GGGGGGGGGGGGGGGGGGGGGGGGGGGGGAGAGCAGGGATTTCTTTCAGCTATTATAAGCATGACTCTCCTGCCCAGCTACATGTACTTTCAGGCAGAACAAAAAAAAGCACAGCGAAAAGTACTTCCCTAACTGTTTGATCCCCGCCTAATAGTTACTGCATATACCCAACAAATTCAATAGGTGTCAGCCCTGACTCAAATCAAAAAGGAAGCAATCTTTTATTGGATCAGGGCTCAACATAAAGGCATTCAATGGACAATGTCTTGCCAAGATGACCATGAGTTTTTGTCCACATAAGCTTTCGATTTCACCAAAACTAACAAAATTCAAGTTAACTTACGCTGCTCCTCGGGAATCTTTTGGAAACCATCTGGTAAAGTGATAAGCGCAGTGAGCAACAAAGTAATACCACATTCTGTACGCTAAAGTCGGTCCCTTCCACCATTCAAGATAAAACTCAACTTGTAAACACTCGCGGATAGGCTCCTATACGCACTGTATTCTACATTTTCCAATCAAAGCTTAATTTTACACGCTAAGAGACCTAAATAATCCTTAAAATTGGCTTGATATAGGAATTTATCAAAATGTCTTGGTCGCGAAGAAAATATTTGCGTCTTCGCCGGAACTAAGCTACTCTGCAATTTAGCCACCATAATGTGTCCCATGATTCCTTACACTACGTTCAGCTTTTTTCTCTCGTCTGATTGGTGTTTCTTTTCGTCCCTGCAGAACAGGAAAATTTTTTTTCTTAAACTCAAGACTCCATTTATACTGAAAGAGAGGTTGAAATTGGATTTATTGATTAACTTTAGAAATACTTTGCAAGGATCTCATGCTCTTTCATCGCTTCTGCGTTTCGATCAGAGGTCTGGGTACTAGATTGTTGTGCTCGTCCAACATGGCGGATCTAAAAAGGCAGTGCACTGGTTATTTTGGCCGAAGGTGCTGAAGAAATAGAAGCAGTGATCACTACAGACGTGCTTCGACGTGGAAAGGTATCTTGGCGTATGTAACCGCTTCTAATAAGTTTGTGGGTGGGCTATTAAGGGAAAATGAGAATGCAGTTCAAAGTATTGCCAAATATATTATAAGCTTAGGGAACGCGTCCAAATATCGGTAGGCAACCCGATCATGGGAAACGGACCCGATTAATTTTCCGATTGATCGGAATCGGTACCTATCTGTAGGCACTAGTTGCCGTTTCCGATAATGATAAAAACTTTGCCGATTCAATCGGAGCCAGAAACATTCCGATGTGGATAATGGGGTATCACATTCATCTGATATAAGGATATGTGATTCTGCAAACATGTCACGAAACCAAATAATGAAAGAGTCATTTCACTCAACAAAACAGTCTTTAAAACTTGCTTTGTTCTCAATAGTAAAATAATTATAACAATACTTCAGTAGATGTTTTTTCGCCTTATAAGTTGGTTCGAAGATGTCTACAAGGCTGTTCGACGATTTGTTTTCTGTCAGCCGATCGGTAATTGCTTACAAACTTTTCCACGCTGTTCTAACAAAATGTAGAGCGAGTCATATTTCGAAACCTCTCATAAAAATTCGTGACT